GGAAGTGTTGCATTTTGCATGACCGGGGATCTAGAGGACGGTGCCGGCAGGAGCCAGGCAGAAGATGTGTGTATGTGTATGTCTATGGGGGGCAGGGGAAGGACGGTGAGGAGATGGACAAGTGACTCTAGAAGGCTGGAGCTCATGAGTGAGGGCGGGGAGATGTGAAGAGGGGGTGTCTCTTCCCTGTGGTGGTGGGGCAGCTGCAGGAGCTCCAGGAGCCGTGGGCTGGGGGCCGAGTCTGAGCCGGCGCATGGCTGTGCATTGCTTTCAGCTTTCAAAGCCGGCCTCCAATTACAGCCCTAATGAAGCGGGACACGCTGCCGCCATGCAACCACCGAGAGAAGGGCCACTTGTCAGCCACACGCTGCCCTAGCAGGCGAGATCCCAGGCAGGGCCAAGTCCTGCTAAATAGAAAAGCAAATAAGCAGACTTGTGGGGTGAGCGAGCAGTCTCCCTCCCCCCATACCCCACCCCATCCCCACCCTGGAGCAAAGAGGAAGAACCAGGGCCAAATAATAAGTAGGTAGTCTCTAAAGCCATGCTTTCTCTCCAAGTCTCTTGTGAGCATTGCTTCCTCCTCCACCCCCACCCTGCCCCACCGATCTAGCAGCCTGGCTTCTCCTGGTACTGCCTCCGACAAGCTCCTGGCCCACTAGGACCAAGGGGGTGCCAGCATAACTCTGCCCCCAAGCAGAGGCAGCCGAGAGACTGGGAATGACCAGGAAGGGCCTAGGCACCCGAGAGGACACTTGAAGTCCTTCCAGGGCCTCTTCACTCACACAGCAAAAGCAGCTGCTTCCAGCCCCCCTTGCATGGCTTGCCCTGTTTGAAGGTCTGAAGACTTTTCTATAAAAACCACTCACTCATCTCACCTCGAATCCCACAGGCCAGGATGCAGGCAGGACTGGCCATGGGGCAGAGCTGAGCAGGGCAGCACCCGAGTCTGGCAGCCCAGGGTCAGGAGGAAGGTTGGGGTGGCAGGACAGGTGTAAAGTACACCCTTTCCTTCCCTCCTCCTGGGAACACCCACCTGCCCAGCAGAGACCAGAGGAGGGAAGGCGTTGGTCTGGACTAGCGTCAGTCATGATTTTATTTTAGCATGAAGTAAAATGAATTCACATTGTACATTTCAGAGTACACCTACAAGTACCCCTGGGTGCTCAGCTCCCATAAGGGATCAGGGAATGTGGGCTCTGGATACATGCATTGCCTCCCTCCACACAGGGTGGAGGTCCGGGAGACACTGGCTGTGGGAGGGGGGGAAGGCTCAGGCCTCTGGTCCCTGCTTTTAGAACTGATGAGGGGACCTCTGGAGACCTCTCCCTTGATTTCATTACTTCTACTTCCTCTCCTAACTGGATTAGATGGCAGTCTATGAAATACAGGGCATCCCGATTGGCTTTCTGCCTGGAAATGAGGAGAAATGTCATTACTGGTCCTGAATCAGCATCTCGCCCAGCCCTGGTCAATGGGGAGTTGGTCTTTGCCCTGGAAGAGTAAAATAGTTATTCATTCGTTCCCTCATCCTCTCAAGTACCCTATGTACACATAGTACAATATGTCTCTGTGGCCAACCTGGGGCTCAGCAGTTTCAAATAGGAGACAGGAGATGTGGTGCTTTGTGCTGTTTAAAACATTCAACCGGGAAACCTCCAGCTCTGACCCAGATGTTACACAGAGGTGCTGCGGGCTTTTCTAGGACAGAAGGCCTCATTTCTGGAGGGACACGACAGCTGGGAGGATGAGATAGAAAATGCAGGGACAGCGAGTGTGTGTTAAGGAGGGAGGAACAGTCCAGGAAAGGAGGACGGGACAGGTTGCACAACCCAAAGAATGTAATCAACCGCATGGAATTGTCCATGTAGAGAACATGGAATCGGTGTGTATACTGCCAACCACAACATTATTTTTAAAGAGAAAGGGAGATAGTTTAGGGACAACCACAGCTCTCAGAGATTTTTAAGAGATTTCAGAGATCCCTCACCCCCACCCCTGGAAGGGGGGACATAACGTCTGCTCAGAGTGAAAAGAAGTTAAAGTTTTGTTAGAAAAACAAAGATAACCAGCAAGTCTGGAATTAGAGAGCAGTCTGGCTGCAAGAACCCAGCAGAGCTGTGAGCTTGGGCTGAACACACCAAGACTTCCTGCAGGGGCTAGTATTTGAGTGGAGACAGATTTTAGACAAGTAGAGAAGAGGGCAATAATTCTGTCAAGGAAGGAGAAAACTGGGTGTGTTAGTCCAGGTGGACTAGAGAAATTCATAGACACTCATCTGTGTATAAGGCAGAGCTTTATATAAAAGAGTAATTGTAGGGGAGACACAGTGTGGGAATTGTGCCCGATCTGACCCCACCACACCGTGCAACAATGTGGGCTAAGGGCATGCTACAGAACAGCAAAGGGAGCAGAGCAAGGAAGTCCCAAGGGAATAGCAAAAATAGACTTTGGGGGCGGGAAAACAATCCTAAAGGTCAACAAACAGACCTTGAACTATTTACAGGCTTTTCTTTTTGTCATTGTTTTTGTTGTTGTTGTTTTCTTCTCTTTTGTTTGTTTTGCTCTGTCTTGTTTTTGTTCATATTATTATCTCTGAGGGTCTATCTATATAAAATAGGCTGGACAAACAATGCGGAAGAGAAAACAATGGAATCCATGGTTTCGGGGGACATGGGAGATGGGGGAAAGGAAGTGGTTAACAAACCCAGGGACAAGAGAACAACAAATGATCTAAAGTCGGTGGCGAGGAGGGTGTAAGAAGCCTGGTAGGGCTTGATCAAGGGCAATGAAACGAGAATTACTGAAGCCCAAATGAAGGCTGAGCATAATAGTGGGACAAGAGGAAAGAAAAAGGAAATAGAGGAAAGAACTAGGAGGAAAAGAACATTTATAGAGGTCTAAATACAGGCATGTACATATGTAAATATATATATGAGGATGGGGAAATAGATCTATGTATATATATTTATAGGTTTAGTATTAAGGTAACAGATGGACATTGGGCCTCTACTCAAGTACTTCCTCAATGCAAGAATACATTGTTCTATTAAACTGGCATTCCTTGCTGCTCACCTTCCTGACATGATTGCTGAAGACAAATGGGTGCATAAGCAAATGTGAAGAAAGCTGATGGTGCCCAGCTATCAAAAGATAGTGTCTGAGA